GTTGTGTCAAAAAAGTTTAAAATATTCAAGTCACATAAAAAAATTTGGGACTATAAGCATGTTTTTTTGTCCATATGTAGAGTTGCATTTCAGGGTTCAAAGACTATATTGACATTATAGCCTAGTTTTTTTTCAAAAAAAGAGAACCATGCTTAGAGTCCTTTGCCTGACGTAGGGTCCTGTGCGGCTCTGAATTGTTGTATTCACATGTTATGCTAAAGGTATACAAATAAAGATGATATTCCAAAGCAGAATGGTGTGCAGACAACATATCTTCTATGCTTGTCCGGGCACATTAGACTAACTTGTATTATTTAAGGACTGCTGCTCAAATATACAATCAACAATCATTGCTTCCAATCCTGACAGTAATTCACCCATTTAGATACAATTGCAGTAAACATTATTGTTAGTGTTTCCTCTATTAGAAGCAAAGGTATATTTATTTTGCCTGTCTTCAAGGAGCTTACAATCTAAGGCCCCTATCTCAAATACATACACAGGAGAGCCAAGTAACCTACCAGCACAGAGAGAACATGCAAACTCCTTGCAGGTAATGACCTGGCTGGGATTTGAACCAGGGACCCCCAGTGCTAAAAGGCAGAAGTGCTAACCACTACGCCACTGTGCTGCCCAAGTCTTATATAACATATGTTGGCCTTCGATCTGCAGCTCATGTAATTATCTGTGTAATTTAATTGAATATGTTTTTTACTGGTTCATACAACACTCCCATTGTATTGGGGGATATAAATAGTTATTTTAATCTGCTCAGTTTAAAAAACTTAAGGAATTAGTAATATTGTAGAGCTGGTCTTTTTTTTTCTTTGGCAAGATACATAATTGCCTGTAGAACAGTTAAACTATACTTTACTGTAGAGTAAACATATTGACCACAACTTGGGTGTCATCTGTTTTATCCGTAATTTGTAATATATATACGGGTTTTGAATTGTAACTAGTTTTAATTACATTTTTTGGTAGTACAAATGGCTTACTGATACATTATAGGAATTTTGAGTTGGAGTTTGATGAGTTTCATACACAATATATATTCACCTAGAATATTTGGCCAGAAATATATGGACTGTTATATTTGCTAAATGTTCTCTTATTTTATTCAACTGTAACAAAAAGCAGGATATTTTAGGAAGTTAATTAGGATTTTTGGCTCCAGGCACTATGTTCTAGAGTCTATTGTAGTTTATCACCCATGCAACATTAATATTCTTACTCTTTGGAATTTTTTTTTGCAAGAACTATATATATAAAATTTTCAGTTACAATGGTTAGGAACAACCTTTTTATGTTATTTTAACCCCTTCATGACTGAGCTAGTTTTCAGTTTCTGTTCATAAATGACTGACACACTTTTTACATTTTTGCTGTGGGATTCTTCCACAGTAGTAATATACTTTCTTACTAAATTTACCCACACATATTATATATTGTTTTTTTAGAGGACAGATAGGGCTATATAATTATATCAAACATGTGTACCTAACGCCTCATTAGTTTGAATAAAATAAAAAATATGAGGAGAAAAACTAGAAGAAAACACTTTTTTCGCAGGTTTTGATTATTATTATTATTTTTTAAATGTTTTATATTAATTATAGTATAATAAATGCATTTATATATAATTTTTATTTTCCTAATTTTGTTTTACACTTTATTTAAATTTTTTTACACTTTGTAAAAAAAAAAAAAAAACTTTTTTTGTCAGTTTATATCAAGCAGTCACTATGACTGCTTGATAAATTAACTTTTTATTTCTATTATTAGGCTGCTCCAAACTTAGGAAGAGCTAATAATAACTTTAGAGACTGATCCTGACTTTAGTCAGATTCAGATCTCACTAAAAGCTTGTTGATCATGCCTAGACGATCAGAACTGATACATTTCACTCAAAAGAGATACATTGTATCTTTTTAGTGAAATGTATCTAAACATCGGGCTCTCGAGCTGTCAAAACAAATAGCAGAGAGGTGAGTCACTGCTACCTCTCTGCTATTTTCAGCTGTTATATACGGGATTGCTAATAGCGGTCCCGTATTTGCATGTAACGGCTTCATTCTTTCGTTAATGAAAGGAAGAAGCTTTTACAAAAAGCTTAATTATTTCATTAATGAATGCCTCAATACTGAGGCATTAATTAATGACTGGTAACCGCTGAGAATCAGCGGTTACTGGCATTACAAAGCCTGATATAACTCGTCACGTACAGTGTACGTGGCCAGTCATATAGGCACTTTGTGATGGGACGTACAGTGTACGTCTCCCGTCACGAAGGGGTTAAAGCAATATACACAAATGTTTTAACTTGGGTATACATTTAAAGCATGTAAGTAGCACAATAATCTTCTTTATTGCTATCAAATAATTGTTATACTGTATGCCTCCTAGAGCCTGATATGTCTTTTATATACAGCAAATGTATGATAATAGTTAGTAAAAAATGTTTTTCCTTTTATCATTAAAAAGTAGTATGTGAACTCAACTGCCTAGGCACAGTCTCTTAAGTCTTGCATGAGGGAGGCATCCTGGGAGAATTTATGTTATTAGTACAGGCAGAAGGAAGCATTTCCTTAGTTTTCTCTCATGGGCATGTTTTATGTAGCAATACAGCAGGTGATAGGATGGTAGTCAGGAAATTGACTAAGTAGTATTAGTGTGATGGATTTTTATACTGCTTAATCAGAGGCTGGCAGCAACAGAATGAGCTATGTAAGTGTGATTAGTTTTTGCACTAATTGGACACTGGGCAAAGGCTGAGAGGTAGCAGTGGAGGGGAGGGTAGCACAAAGTTACCACACAGGCATCAGGTATACATGTATCATCTCTGGACCAGTATCTTAAAGTGCATCTAAACCCAAAAACTAAAATGTAATAGTATGCGGCTTACTAAGTCCTTAGATGTGGTGGCTACAATTGTTTTTTCTTGGCTTGTTTTCATTATTTTCACCCTGTGATTTTGTCAGTATTATACTTCCTATTATAGGGTGACTATGCTCACTCACTGTAATCTATCTTGAAAGAGCGGTGTTGTCACCCTAGGCTGCTCTCCTGATTTGGACTACAACCACCTCCCCCACTCTTATCTCCATTACACAATGGGAATGGTGTTTTTTAGTTTACAAAAGATAGCTGGAAAGGCTGATAGTATTGTTTAAGATTTCAATTTAGAGCACATGAAGTTAGAAAGGCTGGCAAGATCAACAGGTAGTTTCTGTACTTGTTAAGGACTCATAAGCTGCAAAAGCTTGCCAATTTGTTTTTGAGATTGGATATATATTTAAGTCTAGAGCTAGATGCTGACCTTAAATAATGCCTGATGTATAATTACAGTTACTTAGGTAAGTTGGAATGCTCAAAAAAGACAGTTGTCAATCAGTTAAAACTTTTCTTGAAGATGAAAACGTTCATTCTGAAAGTTCCATTTTGAAAAAGTCAAAAGACAAATCCTTGTCTTTAGTTTCAATATTATCTTTACACATAGGAGAAAGAAAATGTATTCTTAGCTTATAAATAGCAGCCATTTTTAGAGTATATACAAAAAGTGTATCGATCAGACACATTTCAAGTACTAAATAATGACAAGTCAAAGAATTACCAATATGAAAAAGTAAACTGTAAATATGTTGATAGATTGACATAATCAGTTTTTTTTTTTAATCAACAATAGAAATTGGTGGAGTCCTACCCCATTTGTAAATGTAATTCCAGTTGAATTCTTAATCAAACAACAGGGAAAGGAGATGATATTCTGAAGTGAAGCAAAGTTATGTGAAGTGAACCTGTTCTTACTTCAAAAATCCAGGCACAAGCAAGAGAAGTTCATTGTTTCTTCAAAATTCCCTTCCCATTATTGAATGCTATAAGGGAACATTGGTTCATTTCACTTCCCTTTATGAAATCATTACTAAAGTGTTCTATATCACCTACCTCTTACTGTGACAATACTGTGAACTGCAGTCAAGCAGATAAGAACAAATCAAATTTGATGATATCAGAGTTGACCTTGATCTGGCCTGTGCACACTTTGATATTGGCAGATGTTCCCATAATTTGCCTTACCTTTTTTCTAACTTTTGTTTAAAGTGAACCTGTATTGTTAATTTATTTCTCATACTGTATATGCCATTTATAGCTCAAAATGTTACACAATGCTTTACAGATTACATATTTACAGTTACATAGGTATTAATAAAATGTTTGGTACATGTACTATACAGTATAGTACAGTTGTTAGCAGGTACTTGCAGACCACTGTCACTGCCTTGAAATTGCCTATGCAGTACCCTAGGAACCCTCAGCAGTTCTATGCAAGTTTGGACTTGCAACATAGATGCACAGCCATTCCATCCAATAATGCAATGGATGTACCTCTCAAATGCTTGCTGAGACAACTGCATTGCATTTTAGGGTGTAGAGCCCTTAGAAAACCTGAAAGCCATCACAGATTTGAGGATTCCAGTGGTGTAGCAGAGGCACAGGGTGATGGCAATCTCCATGTTGCAGATAGTGCCTGCTAACATGAGGTAAGTGTATTATTTGTTTTATAAATATAGGTCTATTCTATAAAAAACAGTGTGACCAGGAAGCAAATAATATACATATAAATAAGTGTATAGACCCACTGTTTTGCTGATATCATTTGTCAGATTTGGTTTGGTGTTTGGCATTCAGTCGCACTGGGTCCTTCACAATACAGTTGAGGAGCAAATATGCAGGTGAAGGGAGTTACCTCAATCTGACTTTAAAAACAGGAAAGGAATTTCTAAAAGTGAAGTTTACAAACATTTGAAATCATTTTCATTGGTTTTATAACAATATTCAAGTATAAGATGATCTATTATGCACAGTCTCATGTAATGTATATCTGTATTTAATAACTCAGATATCACACTTTAATGAATATTATGTTTTAAGCAAAATACATGAAACATGAAATATTCATAAAATAATTACATTTTGCCTTATTTGTCTTTCCGTTTTAGTTGTGCTGATGGGTACTTTGGGCAGCCATCAGTGCCAGGTGGATCATGTAAGCCATGCCCGTGCAATCAAAATCTTGACCTTTCTGCCCCCGGCTGCTGCAACAGAGAGACAGGAGCGTGTATGATATGTAAGCCTGGAGTAATTGGGGAATTTTGCGATAAATGTGCGGATGGATATTTTGGAGATGCTCTTGAGGCAAGGAGCTGTCAACGTAAGTATCTACTTTTTTTACATTAAACTAAAGTCATAAGCAAATAGATAAGAAGCGACATGAAATTAGTAGCGACATGAATCAGTTTCACAAGCTCTTCTCTTAGTTTTTATTACAGTTTCCTTTATATGTAATTTTGCAGCTGATGAGTTATAATTAAAGCATGTTAGCTGGAAAGTAGAATCAACATACATGAATTATACTATAGGTTATATAATAAGCTATGTTGTACAGGTTCCTACTTTCTGGCTGCCAGGATGTAATACACATGTCCTACTCTTAAATAGTCAAAGATGTATGATACATAATGGCAACTAAATTTCCAACCCACATTCATACACAGAAGCATGATTGTTGGTTCAACACACAGAGGTGATTTAGTGAAATCCTGATCTTGTCTGTGATGAAAAACATATTGTCCTGGTTATTGCCACATTCAAATTGAGTGTCCTTCCCTAGTCAGCAGTGTAAAAAGGAGTTTTGAGCCTCTATATTTCCAACCCCCATTTGCAATCCAGCAAAGCCCTTCAGGGCTTGTTCACACCATGTGCGGCCCAGATCTGAACCAGAACATTTTTGTCCAAACCTGAAATGCATCCCAAAATATTGCAGTCCGTTCCGGTGCGGGGGAAACAAATGCTGCATACACTATTTTTTCTGGTCTGGAATGCACCAAAATGCATTTAAACACTTTTAAAAATGCATGCAAATGCACTGGACTGCTCCCGAAATCCCATTTTAAGTTAAAAAAACCACACTGAAATGCACCGGAATGTGTAGAAAATGCACTGCACTGCGTTTGCAGATCTAGAGATAAAGCTTCAGAGGGAAACCATAGAGCATACACTGGCTGCCATCACACAAGTTGACTTTGATTTTCTACCTGTTCCTGACATAGGCATATCTGACCTTTTGTGTGTTGCACTTTTTTAATGTTTATAATATTATTTCTTTAATTGTAAGCCAATGCCTCCCGAATCCAAACAAACATAGACAGGGACAGAAATGCAACCTGAGGGTTACTTCTAAATTGAAAGAAAGTCCTAGGCCTAAGCACCACCTTGTCCCTGTGCAAACTTTTAAAAGGATGCCAAATCACCCCTGGAGAGTTTGACAGCCATTTGACCCATTTGGTTCTCTGGGAGTTGTTCTATAGGGGTGCCTGGCGCTACTTCCTCTTTTCTTTTCTCTGATCCCAGTACTCTTTCATTTTTGTTTCACTCTTCCCTGCTTTTCTTTTCACCTGTTTCTCCACTTTAAATGCCTGAGTTGCGCAGTCCAGGAATTATGAATATATGTTTATATTATGCTGATAGCAGATGCCTATCATTTTGCACACTGATTTAGTCTTTGCACTATCTGCCTCTAATGAATATCACTGTATGTTCTTTGGTTCCGATGTTATGCTACAATGTATGTTTATTGCCTGGGTGGCTCGATTTGCTCACTATTTGTGATATTTTATTCATCATCTGTCATATTTGTTCACATTTCAATAGAATTTTGTGAAAAAAAAGATGCCAAATCAGACACTTGTAGGTAGGAGAGGAAACAAGAATGTCTCTAATATTAATAAAAGGCCATTTCTCTCGAGGAAGAGGCCAACAGTCTCTAAAACAAAGAAAGAAAGAGCAGATGCATCTCGTCTATTAGTGCTGAGAGCCAGACCCACCAATTTGCCTACCCCCAACAGTATTTTTAATGCTTATTTATTGTGTTAATTATATTTTAATTTTTAACATGTTTTGAGTTATTTTTTCACTGTAATGCCATCCTGCCCTGGTCAAGCAAAGATAGTAGGCATGAATGACATAGCTGTAAATTAAATGCTTACAAGTGTTCATATTAATGAACTACTGGGTGTCCAGGCTGTGCTACCACACACAGAGTGCAGGGTAACCCAGTGTTTCTTCTTCATTTGAATATAATATACCTGAAAAGATGCACGCAGTCTTCCTGAACAAAAGACAACAGTAGATTTTTATCTGTCAATTGAAAAGGACAATGGGGCAACTTTCTTTCACTAACTAAAATGGACTAATTAAAAGATTCAAATATTAGTTAGGCCCTGTGCAAAAAAAAGGCAGACAGGCATACATGACAAGGTGAATAGGGGAGCTTGCCACCCATGCACCCACCCTGGATTGGGTAGTCAATGTATTCTTGGGTGTCATAGTTGAGTGGACTGAAGGTGGGCAAATATGTGCTGGTGGGTAATATTTGTGCACTCCTCTTTGCAATGGTGTCCGCATGGTGTGAAAAATAGTAGTGAACTCAAATATTGAGGTATCTGCAGTTAGTCTGCAGGTCATCCCAAGGCAGTGTGTTGTGGGCGGGGGCCCTAAATGTATTTCATGGTTCCAGGGAGACTAAGATCTGTTATATTATTAGTGCATTCAGAGACCTGCAACCATATCTGTATGTTGTATAAAGTAGCGCATTTTGTATTTTTTGTTAATTTGATCATAAAAGGCTGCTATGACCATTTAACTTCAATGAAGGTGTAGTCTGGATATTTGGGAAAAGAGCGTATAGGAAAGGTTTGGTTCCCCTAGCAGTTTACTGAAAGATAGTTGGGGACATCTGTTCTACCTTAGTCAAGTGGAAGTAGAAAACACCTTCAAAAAGATGGTTTTGTCTAACAAAGCATGTTTAACCTTCCTGGCGGTAATCCCGAGTGTGGCTCGGGGTTAATTTTCAGTACCAAAAGCGGTAACCCCGAGCCACACTCGGTCGTCTTCCGGGTTCCTTCCCTGCGAGCTCCAGCGTCGCAGGGGGGCGGAACCGGCGAGAAATTCAAAAGTAACAAATAGAAAGAAAAAATACTGAGATAATCATACTGCCAGGGAGGTTAAAAACATTCACTTCTATACACTTTCACTTTTTATTTAAACCCTAAAAGAAAGAAAATAATTAATTCAATCAAGTTCATGAAATTAGGAATATCATATTTAGCCCAAAGTTACATAGATGTTAACGCTTTAGCAGTGAACTGTTAATAACTGTTAAAATTATTTCCACATATCGTTCAGGGTACTAATTAATAAAGCAAAGTGCATAGTCCACAAATAAAATGTAGTAGTCTAATTTGTACATTTTGTTGTCCTACAGCATGCAACTGTAACATTAATGGGTCAGCAACCACTGCCTGTGATATTCAGACAGGGCAGTGTCAGTGCAAACATAATGTGATTGGACGCCAGTGTGATGAATGTTTGGTAAGTTTCAGCCTGTGGAATCTTTCTGTAACAATAAAATATAATTATGGGTTCTGGAATGTATTAACTCACATAAAATGAAATGCTTTCAATAGTGCTTGTTTATATAAATATGTAATTTATTTCAGAAGTGTTTTTTCACCCTTTTTTCCATCATGAACTTGCACCTCTCCATACAGATTTAGAAGTCTCCAGCTGTCTGCAGAATTACTATTATGGTGATATAAGGCAATCAATAATAGCCTGCAATATATTTTGCATTTTTTATAGTAACAGGTACTTCCAAAATATCTGTCTAGATTACAACAAAATTAGAATACATGTCATTATGGGATAACTCTGCATACTGGGGGGAGGGGG